AGGCATATTAATAATACAATTCTGAATTTATTGCCCATACTCCCTTTTCTCATACCTAATATTTTAAACTAAAAGGTCCTACTGTTTGTAAAGTAACACTCCCAGTGCTTTGCCCTTTCTGTACTTTTGCTCATTTTACCCCCTTGATCTCCAACACTGTCTTCCTCTTTGCCCAATTTTCCACTTAACCCAGTCCAATTTCCATGACTACAAATTCTAAATGTCCTTTGAAGGCTGAGCTCCTCATAGCTAATCCATGTGGGAAATATTCAGTACTTCTCTCTCATTTGACCTCTGTGAGCAGTTACAGTTCTCATGGTTGATATAACAAAATACTTTCCCAGTTCTTACCCCCTTCAGTTTCCTCTTCCTTCACTGGTTACTTGGTACGCTCCATTCTTTCTCTCCTCCTTCTAGATTCGTAATCCCAGCTCATGTCAGACATGTCCGTGGAGAGAAGTCCCTAATCTGTCTCTCTAGACCAGATCTTTTCCTGAGTTCCTGATCTATTGGACATATAGATTAAGACATCTTGCAGGTAACACAAACTCATAATCAATAAAAATGAATTCATTTTCTCTCCATTCTCTGCATTTCTTGCTCTTAAAAACAGACAAAAGCTTCCATCTTCTTCCTGTGTCTTCTATCTCAATAAGCTGTCTCAATGTATTTTCCATATAAAAAACCTCAACTCTTGGGCGCCTGGGTGGCTCAGATGGTTGGGCATCTGCCTTCGGCTCAGGTCATGATCCCAGGGTCCTGGGATTGAGTCCCGCATTGGGGTCCCTGCTCCTTGGGAGCCTGCTTCTTCCTCTGCCTCTCTCTCTCTTCTCTATCTCTCATGAATAAATAAATAAAATCTTTAAAAAAAAAAAAAAACCTCAACTCTTCCCTCTCACCTTTCATATAATTACTTACCAAATCCTGTAAATTCTCTCTCCATCACAGCCTCAATACCATTACATTGGCCCACTGATACTTAGTTTCTTAGCTAGATGATTAATAACTTCTGACTATCTCTAACACCACAACTCATTTTCCATTCCACTGCTACTGGAATGCTTTTATTTTTTACAACTTTAGTATCAGGTGTATAACATAATGATTTGATATCTGTATACACTACGAATGGAATTTCTAAAATGGAAATATGAATACATTCTGTCCTGAATGGTCCCTCGATGCCTACAGGATAAACTTAAAACTTCCTTTGTATGCCACATAATGTCTTCCATGATTTGGTCCTTATCTGTTTCTCTGGCTTCATCTTCCTGATCTCAGTGCTCCAACTAAGCTTAATAATTTCCTCAATGTGTCCTGTTGTTCTCTGCAACTATGCCAATGCATGTATTCCCTGGAACACAAGCCGCCCCCAACTTCACAACATGGAATTAGGACTTGGTCTTCAAGTGCTACCTCCTCCATTGAAGTCTTCCCTGATAACCCTTCAAAAGCAAAGACAATCACTCTCAACTTTGTAACATCCTAGACTTTGACCATGTCATTTCTATCTTTGTATCTTCCAAAGCAGGACTGTTTAGTTATCACAGGTACTCAGGTTTACTGAATTACTTAAGTAACATTTCCTCTTTTGATTTCACTCTGGTAGAAGTATTTTCTCCCTCCCTAAAAACACCTTATTTATCTCTTAGACGATTAGGCACTTCCAACCTTGTGTTTACAGCTATATTAATAAATATTTTACTTCCCTCATTACATTGTTAAGTTCTCTACATACCTCTATGGACCATCTGTTTTTATCCATCTATCCAGTTATAAGCATGACATCTTGCATACTCTGAATTACATTAGAAAAAATAATTTAAGGGCGCCTGGGTGGCTCAGATGGTTAAGCGTCTGCCTTCGGCTCAGGTCATGATCCCAGGGTCCTGGGATCGAGTCCCGCATCGGGCTCCCTGCTCCTTGGGAGCCTGCTTCTCCCTCTGCTTCTCTCTCTCTCTCTCTCTCCTCCTCTGTCTCTCATGAATAAATAAAATCTTTAAAAAAAAATAATTTAAAAGAAAAAGAAAAAAAGGAAACATTAATATGCACACTTGTCTGAGTAAACACTGTTCTGAACTGGGGGTAAATAAGCCAACAGCCAATTTCACGGGTTGTCACTGTACATACACATGTTCATTAAGACAATTCTTGGGGCACCTGGCTGGCTGGGTTGTTAGAGCACGAGACTCTTGATCTCAGTGTTGTGAGTTCGAGCCCCATGATGGGTGTAGAGATTATAAATAAATAAAAACTTAAAAAAAAATGATTCTCTATGACTAAAAAAAACTAAAACACTTGGAATTTCTGTAGTAAAAAATTCTAAGAACTATAAAATACTTTAAAAATCACTGCTATTGAATAAAATCACTTGGTAGACACAGGATCCACATGAAATATAAGATAACTGGACATTTATAAATAATCATACCTATACCTAGCCAACGTTTATGGAATAAAGATCACAAAGATGAAGTTGCCAGATATTTATGTCATATCCTTTCCTGAGCCTAATTCCACTACACCAGATTTCCCCCTGGGATCTTCTCACTTCGGATAAGCAACTGAATCAGCCACAAATGAAGTTACTATTCCCAACTTCATCAGCAGCATCTGTTACTTCAACGGAAACTTTTGAAATACATACAATGCCACACGCAAATCCCCTGAGGGTTGAGCCACTTTATTCACTTACATTCTTCTCAAACTGCTCTTTATTTCTGTCTCTTATTTATATCTTTCCATTTCACATTGGTCACAAAACCATTTTAAGTCATTAAAATTTTGCAGTGTTTAACTACCATTAGTTTAAATAAAACAAATTTTATTAGAACAATTTGCAAGTTAGGCATCAAATTGTTCCTCTTATTTTAAATCATATTAAATTTACCAGAAACAATCTATATTTTTAAATGTGTATAAACGATAAATGGGGATTTAGCTCTTCTTTTTTTAGAGGTAGAGGAGGAAGAAGAAAGAGGAAATAAATACAGGTGCTTAGCACAGGGTTATACAGAGCTCTTGCAAAGTTATGTCACATAAAGGCTTTTGTATTATCTCCAAGAGACACACAGAGTTCTCTCTCATCTCCCAGTCCCTCCTAAAGATTTGTCAATGAAATTAACTGGTTAAGAAATATTTATTTAGAAATAAAAAAAAACCCCTCATATTAAACTGACAAGAATAGAAAGGAAAAAATTATCAACAGAAACAGTTAATACTATACAATTATGGGAGCTGTTTTTTCTTCTTTTAAAGGTAACTACTGGGGAGCCTGCGTGGCTCAGTCGTTAAGCGTCTGCCTTCGGCTCAGGTCATGATCCCGGGGTCCTGGGATAGAGTCCCGCATCAGGCTCCCTGCTCAGCAGGGAGTCTGCTTCTCCCTCTGCCCTTCATCCCACTGGTGCTCTCTCTTGCACTTTCCCTCTCAAATAAATACATAAAATCTTAAAAAAAAAAGGAAGACTTAAAGGCTATATAAATTTGGTATCTATGTCTTTCAGTAATCCTTCTAATTCTGTTTTACACTTCCTAGTCTCCTTCCTAAATCTTTTTTTGTTTTCTTTACCTATCATTAACTTTGTGTGTAAGCACATGCATTTTCTTCAACATCTGGTTCTTGGTTCACTCCCTCCTTGGTAAAACAAGTCACTCCACAACAATTCATTTTTATTATTGTGGGGGGTCATATTTTCTTCAAATCTTTCCCCACATCTTAAGACCAAACATGTCCAGGCTTACGTTTATAACTGCTTACAGGATATAACATAAATGATTATAGTAGTCACTACAAACATAACACATCTGAAGAAAAACTCACCTTCACAACCACAAGTGAAAATGGCTCAAATACTTTCTTCCCTATTGTTATTAATGGCTCAAAATGCAGATTTATTTTCATCCTAACCCAGTGTTTCACTCTCATTATCCAAACGGGCCAGGTCTTAACAATTCTATAGTATCTCCCTTTAAAATGTCTGTCTAAGCTAATATTCTGGCTTCCCTCCAGTCATCATTGTTCCTCACCTCAAATCTAGGAGGTGTTCCTGTGCCTTCAACTTCATTTGATACATACCAGCCAGATTTTCTCTTTAAAGGGATAATTTCATATTTTATTATTAATTTTTATCAAAGTAACACATGCATATGGTTTTCAAAATAATACTAAAAAAGCATGTAAGAAAAAAACAGCAGTTCTCTCTCCCCTATTCCAGCCCGCACTCCTCCACAGGCAAAAACTTTCAAGTCTTTAGCTATTTCTTTTGGTACTCATCTAGATACTTCTAAATAATGTTCCTTCTGCCCCTTATGGGTTTATCTATTTTTTAAATTTATTTTTATTTAGGTCACCTGGGTGGCTCAGTTGGTTAAGCATCTGCTTTCAGCTCAGGTCATGATCCCTGCATCGGGCTCCCAGCTCAGTGGGGAGCCTGCTTCTCCCCCTCCTCTTCGATCTTGCTCTCTCTCACTATCTGTCTCTCTCTCAAATAAATAAAATCTTCAAAAGATTTTTATTTTTATTTGAGAGAGAAAGAGCAAGCAAGCTGGGAGAGGGGCAGAGGAAGAGGAAAAGAATCTCAAGCGGACTCCCCACTGAGCCCTAAGAAGGGCTCAATCCCAGGACCCTGAGATCATTACCTGAGCCTAAATCAAGAGTCAGACGCTTAACCAACTGAGCCACACAGGTGCTCCTGGATTTATCCATTTTAAACATTAGTATCTAAATTCCTAATAAAGTAAAAGAGGATTTACTTTTCTTATAACATTCTATCTGAATTTCTTCTCCCTCCATCCCCTTTCTCAGGTTAAGATAATATTCATCTTATGACCATGTAGTAGTATATTGTTTCCTTTCTTACACAATGCTTTAATTTTCCTGTATTTAATACCAGCCTAGTTGTTTCACTTACTTGGCCTGAAAGTCGACTTACTACCATGCTAGCCACTAGCACCTTGTCTCTCTAAAAGGTCCTCCTGATATCTCCAGGATTAGGGAAGTGCCTGTTCATTATGTGTCTGTTGCATTATAAAAGTCATCACCATCATAAGTGTCTAATGGACCCATTTAATAATTTATCTCACAAATAATTTACAGAGACTAAAGAGATAATGAATAACAATTTTATTAGAAATCCTAATAATTTAAACATGGCAAACCAAAACTTTTACTTCATATAGTCCTGTTTTTGAAGCTAAATATAGAAATGGGCAACTTCTTGAAATACAACCAACTATTCATTGACTATCATCTATGAACTTGAAACATATACATTTTGTAAATACTAAACCAGATCTCAAATACATCTCTTCTTTGCTCCATAGTTGCAAAACACTTTCACTTTTCAACTTACAAACACAAATTAAAATGATTAATCCGTTAGTTTTTTTTCACTTCTGTATCATTTATTCCCTTCTAGTCACCTCTGCATACACATCTACCTTCAGTGATTGTCCACTTGATACAAACTATATCAAGGAAATTTTGGTACACAAACACCATAAAACATGAAAGAAGACAGTCATATATCTTTTTATCAAAGCAGGATGGTACAGATTCTCATCATAAAATATTGTGTGGTAAAGAACTTCCTGCTGAATGACTAAGTAGATGAGAATACCCTATTTCCTTTTTTTGTATTTAGCAATACATTCATTTGTCAATTCTTAAGTTTGAGAAAATTCATCTATAATAGTCTCTGAAAAAATCATAGTCTGAGACTTTACTTAAAAGACCAAGTTCATCACATCATTAAAGTCTAGGTACTACCATCTGTCTCCTTGCATTTATGTTCTGATTGATCTAATAATTGTGAAATGTCTTCCTCTGTCAATTTTCTTCTACTTGCCATTTTGAGCAGAAAATGTAAAATTCTGAATTCTCAACTTTGTTCAATGAAAGCTAAAAAGGATGGTGTTTCCAGACTTCTTTTATACATTCTTGAAAGATAATGTAATGCTTAGGGCAACATAGTAACAAGGATGATGAAGACTTACTTCACTATTGTATCATCCTTCTAGACAATTCCATCATCTGTTTTCTTATTATTTTAGTGTTTTTTTAGCATAGTTGGGAATAATTGATGAGTAATGATAAAACTATTCTTAGGATGATGAAATAATAAAATGTTTCAAAGTACAGCAAAATAAGATCACTAGGATCCCATGATGTAACTTGGATATATATAGAAGGATCCAATGGACTCATATAGTAAATCTGAGATAGAGTTTTATTCTATTAATCACTTCTCGGCCTTTTGGCTAAGATCAAGTGGAGTTTTATTCTATTAAGAAAAGTAAATTTTCTCTCTGTTCTTTGGAAGACTACTAAGAAAGAATAAAAGTTCCTCAAGGTCCTAAGGATATATCAATGAACAAAATAGAGATTGCTGCCTTTGTAGAACTTATATTCTACTGGGGGGGACAATAAACAAAACATAATAAATAAGTAAATGATGTATGCTAGCAGTAATTAAGTGCTTTGGAAAAAAGAAAAGTAGAGCAGGATAACGGGAATTGGTAGTGCTGGGTAGAAGTTACCACTTTACATACGGTAGATAGAGTCCACCTCACTGATACTCAAGCAAAAACTTAAAGATCAGGGAATTAGCCATGCATTTCTGAGGTAAGAGCATCCCAGGTGGTAGGAAAAGCAAAAGCAAAGTCTTTAAGGTGGAAATATTTGTGATATGTTTGAGAAATAGCAGGGGGGGCCAGTGTGGCTAGAGCAGAGTAAATAAGGGCAAGGTGAGGTCAAAGAAGTACAGGATACTAGATTCTGAAGGGCCCTGTAGGCCTTATAAGAATTCTTGCTTTTATTCTGAGTGAAATGGAAAGTCAATGGAGGGCTTTGAAGCAGGGAGAGGAGTTAGGTGCAAGAATTCTGTCAACAAATGATAATACCCCTGACCAGGATGGTAGCTAAGAAGTGGAAGAATCCTGAATATATTCTGAAGGTAGAGCCAACAAGATTTCCTAATGAATTAGATATGAATGTAAGAGAGAAAAACCAAGTCAGAGGATGACTCCTAGGTTTCTGACCTGAGCAACTAAAAGGATAGAGTTAATGCAACTGAAACCTGCAACCGAACATATTATAGGGGAAAGAGGAATTCAATTTTGGACAGATTGGATTTGCAATATCAGACATCTAAATGATGTTGAGGAAGCTATTAGTCTTGTGTTAAGAAGACAGATCTGGGGCGCCTGGGTGGCTCAGTTGGTTAAGCGTCTGCCTTCAGCTCAGGTCATGATCCCAGAATCCTAGGATCGAGCCCCATTTTAGGCTCCTTGCTCAGCAGGGAGCCTGCTTCTCCTCTCTCTGCCCCTCCCCCCTCGTGCTTGCACGCTCTTTCAAATAAATAAAATCTTAAAAAAAAAAACCACTGTTTTTTACGCTCGTATCACAGATGAAAAAAGATGAGATTTATGTGAATTTTTCATTTTTTTTTTCCAAGTAGGCTCCACGAGGTCTGAACTCATGACCCTGAGATCAAGACCTGAGCTAATATCAAGAGTCAGATACATAACTGGCTAAGTCACCCAGCTGCCCCAAGGTTTATGTGAATTTTTTAAATTGTTTAATGTCACAAAGCTGGCTGACTGGAGGCTCACTTCCAAACCATGCTCTTAATCAATATGGTATTGTTAACTCTACATTATTTTTATCAACAGTCTCCCCTCTGTCCATAATAAAGTTTTATGGAAAATCTCACAATATTATTTTTTATGTAGCACATGGCAACTACTCATGAAACAACTTGCTGAATTTCAAATTGCACTTTCCCACTTTTAACATAGGATTATATTCTGATATGAATAATTGGATTATCTGAAGAGCAAAGTTAGTCTTCTATTTAGAGAGAATCTTGACTGAGGTTTCATAAAAATAATGTCCCAGCTTTCAAATTGTTTAACTCGAGTCTAAAATAGGGGTCAGGAACTATTTTCTTCTTACTCTCCAGTATATCTCTATCACCTTGCATGGTGTCTGGCACATAGTAGAAGCTCAATTAATATTATTTAACGAATGAAATTGGAAGAATTAAGTGATTTCCTAAAAAAGATGTCAGTTGGGGGTGCCTGGGTGGCTTAGCCAGTTAAGCCTCTGACTCTTGATTTCTGCTCAGGTCATGATCTCAGGGTCATGAGATGAAGCCCTGCAGCAGCGGGGAAGTCGGCTTGAGATTCTCTCCTCTCCCTCTGCCCCCTCCCCCCACTCACGCACATGCACACGCACACACACCCCCCCTCTCAAATAAGATAAAAATCTTTTTTAAAAAAAGATGTCAGTTGTTTTTACTGATCTTTAAAAATCAATTAGCATCTATCTACTTCATTGGTTAGCTCTTCTATTTATGTAAGCATCAACTAAGGAGTATTTGAATGATTCACAGCTTACTTAACTAGCACCGTAAATACAATTCTGATTTTTAAAAAATAACATCCAAGAAGAAGGTAGCCCTTTACAGACCATATGGAATATCTGATCAGCTCTACTCCTCCAAATCCTGCTCTTAACTTACAATGCTATAACCTATTTGTAGTAGGACCAACATTGAAAAATAAGAGAGGAATGAGAAAAGACAAGGAACAGACAAGAATAAAAGAAACAATAAAAGTCAGGAAATAGAACAAGAAAAAGAGAAAGAGAGAAATGATATTTTCCCCCAGCTTTACTGAGGTGTAATTGACAAATAAGAGAGAAATGATTTTTAAAGTACCATCTCAGAATAAAAGAGAGGCAGTTTATTGTATAAGAACACACTAGATAGGAATTGAGACGTAGGTTCTTCCAAAACGTACTGAATAATGTTGTACTAATCATTTTCTCTCTCTAGATTTCAATTTCTCATTTGTGAGCATGAATCTAGCCCCTACATGATCTTTAAGATAAATTGCTACCCCCCACCTCCAGGAACCAACTCAAATGGTACCTGCTCTGTCCAAGTCCCTAGACAGAACCATATCACCACATTATTTTCTCTCTGAATTCTGAAGCTCCTATCCACACTACAGAGAAAGATACACTTAAGAAACTATTGATAACAAAAGTCTGAAATAACAAAGGAAGGGTTTTTTAAAAAATTAAATCCTAAATTTGTAAACAGAAATATAAATTAGCAATATATGTGAAATATTTGTTAGATACGTAAATACTTCATGCCCCCTGGGAATACACATTGCCCTCCACCTCAGAAAAAGATTATGACTATTTATAATCCCTATGCAGTATGCACTATTGAGGCCTACTAGGCAGGGTTAAAGCTGGATTTTCAACAAGGCTCACAAGTCCTGAGGTTAAATACACATGAATTAAGGATGTTTAATCCAACTCAAGATACCATCTTTTCATATTTAAAGCAGCTTCCCTTAAACAGGAAAAATACAAAATACATGAGCTGCCCCCTGACAGTAAAGCTCCTGCAGAGGTAATATAAAGGTCCATTTTTTTTTAACCATTTAAACTCATACTGTGTTTACTCTTACTTCCAATACATACAACAGGTCCTGCGAAAACCAGAATACTTTATGGCACAAAAAAGCTGTAAAAAAAAAAAAAAATTAACAAATTAAAAAATGTAACAAACATCATTGCTTAAATATAATTAGGACCAGCTACATAAAATGAGAGAAAGGTATAGGTTTCTTTGGGCGTGTGCATAAACACACATAAATCTGTATACACACAGAGAAATAAAACAGTTAAACAGTTTCTACCTGTTTTTGTGTACTCCCTTTCAGACACTGTTCCCCTAGAGTCTTGGCCTCTGTTGCTGTCTAACTTGAATTCACAAAACTCAATGGCTCGTGCTTTTCAAAGCTTAGGGCTACGTTTGCAGAACAAAGTCGCTTTCTCTCTCTCTCTCCTTTTTGGTGGGTACAAGTATGGGGACCACAGGAACAGTTAAATTCATGGCATGGCTGGTCTACCACACAGTTGGGGGAATTCTTTAAATAGAGCCTGTCACTCTCTTGGTCCATCAATGGGATTTCCTTCTCAAACTGCTGATTCGTTCAGGTACACAACAGAGGAAATTTCAGTTAACCTTTGTTTCACCCCAGGGAAAAATCTGTCTGAAAGTATAAAATGAATAGATTAAAAAAAAAAAAAATAAGCAGCTCAGCCACAGGGCCATTCTCCCAGTGTTCACTGCAGCTTAAGTTAAACAGTAAAAAGGGACAGTGGAATGTTTCATTCCCAGCGGAAAATTCAAGCACAATCTATAACTTGGGAATCCAGCAGGTCACAGTTTATTCTGATGACTAAACCAATCCAACTGTCCCTTCTGTTTAACAAACCTCAAAATTCCCCTTCTGATATTTTTATATGAGTCAGAATTATTTTCCTCTTCTATCTCCATTACCACGATAATCTGACTGAGGGGTCTATAACACAACTGCATTCTCAAATTTCTAAATAACAAAAAAAGTAACTCTCAGGAATATTTTCAAATAAAATTAGTAACGGGGACAGGGGAAAAGTAGGGACAGAATAAATCAGAGAGCCCTGGTAAATTCTGTTATTCATTTCAAAATAAAAATTGAGGTGGGAAGGGACAACAAAAAGGAGCCCACTTTTCCATCATAAAGTTCTGTTTTTAAACAATGGGAGTATTTGGAGACTCTATAATTAGACTGAGTCATGTGAAATCTTGGAATGGGGAGTAAGAATTTGTTTTCCCTTGAAATCAAGGTAATTTATGTACTTTTTTTTTGGAGAAATACAAATTTTAGAATATGGTAGATAAACATTGGCTACCTAGTCTTTATTTCTCCCAAATGATTTCTGAACCCCATGGAACAATCATTGTACTATCCATACTTTTTATACATATTATATTACAATTCATATATACTGACTGCAAGGAGCTAGGGCAGCTTTTATAAAACAGCAAGATACATTTTGCCTCTGGGACCACTGTCATTTTCATAAGAAAAAAAATAATTCAAGGCCTTCTTAAATTTTCTTACCAACTTTTATTTTGTGGTAAAATATACACAACCTAGTATTTACCACCTTAACCATATTTAAATGTACAATTCAGTGGCATTAAATACATTCATATTGTTGTGCAACCATCACCACCATCCATCTCCAGAAATTTTTTCATCTTGCAAAACTGAAACTCTATACTCATCAAACAATATTTTACCAACTTCTGATGCAGAACTTAAAGATACGTTCTTGATTCACTGACAAGGTCTCAAAGTCCTGAAAGTGGAGCTAATACTGGCACTATCACATTTTATATTCTGAAGAGATTGAAAGATACTTATCACACAAGCTTGCTCAAAAGGCTTAAGACAGAGAGGAGAGGTTTGCAAGTTGGAAAGAGGTTGGAACTCTGTGACCTTAAGAGTCATACACTGGAGTAGGGACAAAGTGCACGTCTTTATTAAAATACAAGATCTTAAATGAAAATTACTAAAGAATATTTATATTTGCCTATTTTAATAAACAAAGAAGGTCATAATTCAGCTCTTTTGTGACAGAGTCCTCTGGGCATCCCTAGCCTAGGAAACAGAACCTGCCAGGTAAGTACTTTGGTTACCAGGATCTGAGGGAAAACCATTATTAAATGTATACCTGCTGAAGTTAATGTTTATATTCAAGCTTAAATATTTCCTTCCCTTAGTAAATTCTAGTCCTCAAAAACATTTCTATACTGTAAAACCCCGTAACAAACAGTATAAAATTAAGTATGCCTTTCAAAATGAGACTAATTATGGGGCACCTGGGTGGCTCAGTCATTGAGCGTCTGCCTTCGGCTCAGGTCATGATGGGATCGAGCCCCGCATCGGACTCCCTGCTTGGCGGGAAGCCTGCTTCTCCCTCTCCCACTCCCCCTGCTTGTGTTCCTGCTCGGTCTCTCTCTCTGTCAAATAAATAAATAAAATAAAATAAAAATGAGACTAATGACAATTATATGTAGTAAAAGATGTATTTAAGGACCTAAGTAATATTTTGTAGCTCTCTCCCTGAAAATCTGTTTTCTGTACCAGCTTGAAACCATACACAAATAGAACAGCCCGTTCCCCTCTATATTTAACTGACTCTAGTTACGGTCTTCTACAGAAACAAAAATGCAAGTCTGCTCTGTTGTTTTTAGGACAGGATTTCGAATAGGAAATCCTCTAAAATAAACCCATGAAAACACTGAAAACAAAGATAAAATAAGATAAAATAATTATTTTAAGAAATACCAAGATTAAAAGTATGCGGGTTAAAATTGGCAGGAATGTTTAGAAAAGAGTTACAACGAGCGAAGATTCCAAATCATCCATAGAGAAGAATGAATGAACAACAACGATACACAGAAGTAACAATACTTTCAACAGTCTAGGTCATAAAATTCAAATAAACAGGTGATAAAAATTCGAGAGAACTCAATGTAGATTCTTGAGCTAGGCTGAGATGGGACTGAAGGCAGATGAGATGAGGCAGTTGGTGGAGACGGTAGTATAGAGAAAGAGCCCAGCAAAAGGAAGAACCTGAAAGCCTTTTTAGATGTTCCATGTAGGCTGGAAAAGAATGCATATTCTACAATTATTGGTTTTGTGGTCTATAAATGTCAATTAGGTCAAGGTGGGTGACTGTTATCCTGATCTCCTATGTCCTTATTGACTTTTTTTAAATCTAGTGTTTCTGTAAGTTACTGAGAAAGGAGTAGGTATTAAAGTCTCCAATTATGATTGTGGACTTAACTACTTTCTTCCTTTAATCCTGTCCAATTTGTCTATTTTGAAGGTTGGTTTGATTCTTACGCCTTTCCTGATGACTTGATCCTTTAATCTTTCTGAAATGTCCTTGTTTATCTCTGGTACTACTCTGTCTCAAAGTCTACTTACCTGATAGTAACATATCATACTAACTGGACTACTCCAGTTTTTACATGCCTATTACTCTTTGCATGTTTTATCTTTTCCATCCTTAAAATTGTTCTCATCTTTGGTTTTCATCAATTTGACTATGAGTCTCTTGAGTATGTACAATTTTATCTTTCACCAACTTAAGGAGCTCTCTTCCATTATCTCTTTAAATATATTATCCCCATTTTTCTCTCCTTCTGGAACTCCAATGTTATGTATTATGTCTTATAATATTGTTCAGTGGGTCACTGAAGCACTGCTCTTTTATATTTATTTTTTGAATATATTTTCCTTCTGTTTCTCAGTCTTTTTTGGTCTTCAAGTTCACTGACATTTTCAATCTGCTATTAAGCTCATTCAGTTAACTTTTATTTCAGATAAAGTATTTTTCATCAATTCTAGAATTTCTATTGTTCCCTTTTATAGTTTCATTTCTCTGAGATTTCATGCCTGTTATTTCCTTATATGCATATTTTATACCCTTGAACACAGTCAAAATAACTTTTAAAAATTTTCATCTGCTAATTCTAACGTCTGGGTCATCCCAGAGTCAGTGTCTACTGACTGCTTTTTCTTAAACATGAATCAAATTTTCCAGTTTCTTCATATTTCTGGCAATTTGGGGTTGCATCCTAGACTTTGTAAATGATGCTTTGTAAACTATGGATTCTGTTATGTTCCTCTAAAGACAGTTGATATTTGTTCAAGGATCAAAAATTTGCCAAATGCTTATATGCATAATTTGGGTTTCTCCCTCTGTAAATTCCCTTTCACTTTCCAGCTGCTGTAGGAGCCTCCCTTTTCTGATTCCCAAGGCCTCAATTTCTTTCTGAGTTCTAACCACTCCCATGTTATACCAATTAGCTACTGCTCTCAGGTAAAAAGCCATAAAAACAGAAAAACCACCTAATGCTGTTTCTTTATTCCAAGTGTTGACTGCTTGCTTTTGGTTTGCAGTACCTTCAGATATTTTATGCTTTTAAGTATTAAAGTATGCTAACAGTGATATGTGTGTATGTAAATTTGTATTTTATGTATAACAGTTACAGTATAATATTTTGTCCAGAGTATATAATTATCTTTGCGAAGGCTGGTCCATTATGAACAATTCTGCCATTACCAGAACTCTGGGACTGCTTTTTTAGTATACAGTGTATAACCTTAAAAAAAAAAAATCTTCCACTCTTCTCTTCAGCTCCCTTCAGGCAACTATTGAGTCTATACTTCTCAGTGCTCTGTCCCTATCATCTAGCATAGGGTTTGATATATAAGAGGTGCTCTATAAATATTTATTGAAGGAATGGAATGATGAATAGGGCAAAATGAAAATCATCAATATGCATCAGAAAGGTCCTAGGAGGGGGAAAGTACTTTGGGCTGGAGTGATTAGCAATTTCTCGTCATTGAAGAAACCTTGTTTTCTTCTTAGAGGCAAAGAGATCTACCCTTAGTTTTAAAATATGACACATTATGTATAGGTTTTAGATAGTTTTTAACTATAGCTTCTCATTTTCTGGATAAGATGCTCCAATCATGAGCTTTATTATTAAGGGTCCCATATTGAGTATAAGTCCTTTTCATCAGAGAAAATGTTACATTTTAGTTCTCTGGGCAAATTAATTATGATTTACTATTTTAGGCCACCTTCTAAATTCCTGGGATAATTATGTGAGATTCTAATTTTCAAAACATTCATTTGCAAATAGCTCATTAATACTACCCAATTTCCCAAAAGACAGTATGAAAATGAGCACCCTAAATGATGGGGAAGGTAATTAACATCTATTGAGGGACTGCTAGGTGAAAAGCTCTATAATAAGTGCTTTATCTCATTTAATCTTCTCAATTACCCTATGACATGGATATTATTACCAACTATTTACAGATAAGTACACTAAAGCTCAAAGCTGGCCAAGGTCATACAGTAGGTAAGTGGTAGAGCATAAATTCAAATTTGAACTTTTGACTACAATGAAATCAAGCACTTCTGTTCATCAAAAAACAAAACAAAATATTGTATTAAGAGAGTGAAAAGGCAAGCCATGGAGTGGGAGGAGACATCCACTCAACATATAAAGGTTTCACATCCAGAAGATAGAATAAACCCCTACAAGTTATTAAGACAAATAAACAGAAAGACTAGAAAAAGACTTAAAATAGGTCATTCACAAAAGAGGATATCTAAATGACTAATAAACATGAAACATGAGAGGTTTGACTTCATTTAGTTATCAGGTATAATACATATTGAAGCCACAATAAAATACCTCTACTCATCTACCAAAATAGAATTTAGAACATGAACAACATCAAGCATTGGCAAGAATACAGACAATGGGAATTTTCATACACTGTTGGTTAAAATGCAAATTGGTACAACAACTTTGGAAAAACAATTTGTCGTTATCTACTAAAGTGGAGGATAAGCATATCATAGGACTAAGCAATTCCAGTCCTAGGTATATACATGAAAGAAACACAAAACACAAGTTAAAAGCAACACTTTTAGCAACAGCCAAAATATCCATTTATAGTGAATGGATAAACTCTGGTATAGTCATACAATGAAATGATCTGCATCAACTAAAAAACAAAGTAACAAAATGAACCACAGCTACATGTTATACAAAAGAAGGCAAACACATACAAAATTATGTATCTTCATGAGTCCATGAATATAAACTTCAAAAACAGTTATTTATTTATTTGACACGGGGGGGGGGGGGGGAGTAGCAGACAGAAGGAGAGGGAGAAGCAGGCTCCCCACCAAGCAAGGAGCCCAATGTGGGGCTCAATCCCAGGA